AGGCCCGCGCGCAAAGGGGCCGGCTAGTATGGCGCGACAGGCACGGCGGCGGGGGCGCTGACCGCTGGGCACTTCCCAGCGCGCCTCGCAGGCCGCGCTGACATGCGAGCGCTTCAATGCGAGTCGGTGACTCGGGCGGGCGCGGCGTCATTGCGACGTCGACAGAGGCGCGCGCGATGATGACTGCACCGACGCCACTGGCGACGATGACGATGACGACGGCACGGCCAATGACAGCGCCGATACGATTCACGCCAATGACGAGGAGGGTGTCCTCTCGACGCGCGGCCAGCGGGCGCGAATGGGCAGCGATATATAAGTTGACAAGGGTCGTGCCCCTTCCCCGGCACGCGCAAGGGCGCTCGAATGATTGCGACGCGCGCGGGCGAGAGGCCTGTTTGTTCGCATTTGATGGACATGTTGGAAAAACCTGAGCATGTGGTTGCCTGCAGAAGTTGCAAGAACGCAAGACCGGACCAATTTTCTTTGAACACGGACGTTGCCAAACCCACATATTCAGATACGTGTTCGGGACACTCGATCGTGACATCCTTGCGAAGCCAGTGGTTTTTTGAAAGATTTCGGCACGCGCGCGCAACGACTCGCGCGCGCGCGCGTGTACGCCGTCCTATATGTTTGCCAGGGGAATTGGGGCATCCATCGTTTTTGATAAACGTAGGTGCGCGCAGAATGCTTCTGTTGCAAAGTATGATGGGGGGGGGGGTCAAACCCAGCTTGGCCAGGATAAGGTTAATTCTTGGACCAACGATGGGGCAGAATCCCATGTAAACTGCACATCCCCAGGGGGGAGTAAAACCAGGGGGTAGTTTCGAATTTTCTTGTAAGCGGGAGAACTCACCTTGCCGAACTCGAAGAAGTTAACAGTAACACCGCTGTTCGTGCAAACATCCCACCCGCCAACCCGCAGCTTGGATCTGCAAAGCCCAAGCGGCGGCGATGGCCATGACTGCTTGGCGCTAGCTGGCTCATTGCTGCGGCCGCGGTGGCGCTGCCCGCCGGAGACTCCTTAGCGCGTGTCACAGGCCGCGCTGACGCGCGGGCATTCCATTGCGAGTGGGTTTTCGGGGCAGGCGCGGTATTGTGGCGACGTCGGGAAGAGCAGACACGATGATGACAGTAGCGATGCTGATGGCGACGATGGCGATGACGACGGCGCGGCCAATGACGGCGCCGATGCTGATCACGCCGATGACGATGACGGTGTCCACGCGACGATGACGATGACGACGACGTGGCCAATGACGGCGCCGATGCTGATCAGGCCGGTGACGATGATGATGTCCACGCGTCGGTGATGAAGGTCTTGAACGGGTTTCGACATGCGCGCGCAGGCAATGGGCTCGAGTGGTCCGCATGAGATCCTCTGCCAAGGATCGTGCCCACCAGCAGGCACGCAATGGCGGTCGAATGATTTCGACACGCGCGCGCGAGAGGCTCGCTTGGCCGCATGCGATGAAGATGGGGAGGGCCCTATGGTGTTCAGAAGGGTTCGCAAGAACGCGAACGCAAACCTCGTTGGAATAGTCATGTTGTAAAACCGTGTGTTTTCGATCGTCTCTGGGACGCTCAATTTTGACATCCCCGCGAAACCCTACGTTTGTTTGATGATTTCGGCATGCGCGCGACGACACGCTCGTATACACTTCGCCCCTGTTGCGCAAGAGAGTATTGAAAACTGGTGGCTGTTGCTAAACGAGTGTGCTCGCATGCTGTTTTTTGTGTGAGGGATCGTGGGGTACCAAGTTTGGCTGGGTTGGTATGAGTTCACAGTTCGAATGAACGGTGGGGCATCTTCGGTTTCAAAATGTCCGGGAGGGGGGGCGATCATCCTGGCTTCTGGGAGGGGGTAGAGCCAAATTCTTGTTTAGAAAAAAAACCTGCGTAATTCAATGTATGTTGTGCTGCAATGGAACGGCATCTGCGACAACATAGCCACTAGACCAGTGAGGCCGAGACGACAAGCGGCGACAAGGCGGCGACGGGGCGGCGACGGCGACAACATAACCGCCAGACCGACCGCCACGCCCAGCTCCTGAGAAAATTAGCCTAGCGAAGGACCCAACCATATGCAGTTGTGGGCCACGAAACGCTGTACTGGGCGGGGGGGGGACGCATGCGAACTGCGCCACTGGGACCTCGGTGAAGCTCTCTATGGGGCCACGAAACGCTGTACTGGGTGTGGGGAGGCACATGCGAACTGCGCCACTGGGACCTTCGGTGGAGCTCCCTATGGGGCCACGAAACGCTGCCCTGGGTGAGGGGGGGGACGCATGCGAACTGCGGCACTGGGACCTTCGGGGGAGCTACCTATGGGGCCACGAAGCGCTGCCCTGGGTGGGGGGGGGGGGGGGCGCATGCGAACTGCGCCACTGGGGCCTTCGGTGGAGCCCCCTATGGGGCCACGAAAGCTGCCCTGGCTGCGGGCTGTGCCACTGGCCCCTTGCCCTGGGTGGGGGGACATGCGGGCTGTGCCACTGGGGCTCCCTATGGGGCTGCCCTGGGTGGGGAAAAACGAAATGCCCTGGGTGGAGGGGACGGCATGCGGGGGCGGTGGAGCTCCCTATGGGGCCACGAAACGCTGCCCTGGGTGGGGGAACCGCATGCGAACACCCCCACTGGGGCCTTCGGTGGAGCTCCCTATGGGGCCACGAAGCGCTGCCCTGGGTGGGGAACCGCATGCGAACACCCCCACTGGGGCCTTCGGTGGAGCTCCCTATGGGGCCACGAAACGCTGCCCTGGGTGGGGGAACCGCATGCGAACACCCCCACTGGGGCCTTCGGTGGAGCTCCCTATGGGGCTACGAAACGCTGCCCTGGGTGGGGGAACCGCATGCGAACACCCCCACTGGGGCCTTCGGTGGAGCTCCCTATGGGGCCACGAAACGCTGCCCTGGGTGGGGAACCGCATGCGAACACCCCCACTGGGGCCTTCGGTGGAGCTCCCTATGGGGCTACGAAACGCTGCCCTGGGTGGGGGAACCGCATGCGGGCTGTGCCACTGGGACCTTCGGTGGAGCTCCCTATGGGGCTACGAAACGTTTGAGGGGAGTGCCGAGAGCAGAGGCAAGGAGGGGGAGGAGGGAGGAGGGCGAGGAGGGGGAGGAGGAGGAGGGAGGTGGGACGCGGGGCGCTGTCTCTTCAAAACGAGGACCCAACACCACAGGATGGTTGGGAACAAATAGGAAGCCCTGGGCGTAAGCACTCGGAGAACACAATTGGAAGAGGGGGGGGCGGGGCACCGACCCTGTCTGGGCTCGTTGCAGCAATGATGCGCGGTGCTGGGTGGATGGTGGCGATGTCCACTGCGCCTGGGAACCTATCTCTTTGCCGATGGCGTCCCAGAGTGACGGCGGCCGCTGCTGGGCAGGCGACCCCTCGTCCTCGGTGGAACACGTCCGCGCGGCAACGCCGACAGCGAATCCTGCTCAGGCGGACAGGACCTGCTGTCGGTCTCGGTCCCGAACATCTTGCCGTCTCCATTTCGGTTCCCCCGATCCTCCTCCCCCCTGAGGTATTTGTTATGAGCAAAACCTCCCCGTCGCATCCCCAGACGTATCGGTAGGACTGGCTGGGCGTTTTGACCCTGTGGTCACAAATCATACAGCTCGAAACACCCAGCAGATATTTACACGGATCCGCCTCATCGCCAGGTTTGAACGGATGGAGCCAAGGGTGGGCCCCAAATGCGACATCCATCGCGTCGCAAGTCTGCAACAACTCCTGGGATGCAGGGCGGTGCTGCCCCGAAAGAGGTCCATCGCGTCAGATGCGTGCAGATCCATGCTCCACCCTGCGACCGGTGCCCTCCTTCTCATGATGAGCCTGCTGCTTGAGGCCGTTGTCAGCTGCCATCACCACCGGCCTCGAATTATATCCAGCAGCCACACGGAGGGGGGGCGGCGCCTTCGCAAACCGGGGCTCTCGCTCGAGCTTCCTCCAGGCGCGCGGTCCGAGAAACACCAAGACATGTGCAGTTGAACTGCTGGAGGGCGGCGGCTCCCCTTCAAAACTGCGATCTGGCGCGGCACGCGCCAAACCTGTCTGCTCCTTGTAGCGTGACGCGCTCCGTTGCCACGAGGTGGATGCAGCGCGGATCCCTGCCAGAAGAAATCGCTCGCCCTCGCGACACGCCAATGGGGCGCTCTCCTTTCCGGGGAGGACCTCCCCGCCGTGAGCAGGAGCACGTGCAGGGACCCGTGCAGAGGGGACGCCCGGCTTGCAGATCTCGGGGGGGTGCGCTCGGGCCTCCGGCCTCCGGGCGCCCCGGCAGACCTCCGCAGGCAGCTGCAGACGCTCGTCCAGTGACCCCCGGGGGGGGGGGGGCGCACTTGGGGGGGGTCGCCACCTCTCCTCCAGGAGAGGGCCTCCTCAGAAGGCCCCCCTCTAACCTTCCAGGACCTTCCCCCGAGATCGTCGAGAAGCCTCCTCTATCCTCGGTCCTCGACGCCTTCCACCTTCCAGGAGCCTCCCCCGAGATCGTCGAAATGCCTCCTCGACCCTCGGGCCTCGATGCTCGGGCACCGATATCCGCCGAGGCGACTTGTTTGAATGCGCGGCCCCCGAGGCCCCGATCTCTTCCCTAGGTGCGGCGTCTCGTCCCGGATCCGTTCGTGAGGGTCTCGGGGGGACCAAGACCAGACCTCGAAGGCGGAAGTCGAGGAAAAGCGCCTGGATGGAAACATCAGATCATCGGAGGGCAGGCCCTCTGGACGCAGGTGTGACCCTGGGTAAGAGTGACCTTTGGTGCGCGGCTTTCTGGGGGCCGTGGGGAGGCCGAACATAAGCGCGCAAGACGCTATTGCCGCATCGCTTTTGGCGTTCGGGGGGGGCCCAACGGGCCCGCACCTCACTCCAGCGAAGGGTCACTCTTACGTGTAGTCGAGAACTGACGACCTCTCCCAATGGTGACCGAGCCCTCCGGGCACTGCTCGACATGGGCGAGGCGCCCGCGTAATGGGGGCCGGGCGGACGGCCGTCGCCTCGCTGAGGGGCAGCATCCGAAGCTCCGTCGCGGTCTCCAGCTCCCACCTTTGGAGGCGGCTCACGCGGGGCAATCCCCAGATCGGCTAGACGCAAAAAGTGACCCCAGGCCAGAGTGGCCCTTGTGCGCGACTTCGGGGGGCCGTGGGGAGGCCAAACCTGAGCGCGCAAGGCGCTGCTATCGCATCGCGTTCCGTCATCGGGGGACCCCAGTGGACGAGCACCAAAGGTCACTCCAAGCACCAAAGGTCACCTCCAATGCACCGAGAAACCCATCGGAGATTGCTCGCCGTCTTCGGCATCTGGGAGCCCTCGCTGGGCCCCAGGCCCGGGACCGTCAAAAGACGACTCGGGATGAAAAGCCAGCCCTGTAAGGAAAGGGCCTGGCCTGCTGGTAACCCCGCGTTGAACAAACAAGACATCGAATGTCTGGGGAGAGGGCTTCGCCAGTAATGATACGAATGGTACATATAGTACTAAGAGTAGTAGCACGATGAAGAAGAAGAAGAAGAAGGAGAAGACGAAGACGAAGACGAAGGCTCCGCCAGCGGAAGTCCGGCGGACGGCCGGTGCAAGTGAACACGCGACGTCACCAAATTTGGACTCGGGGCTTCGGGAGTCGGCCACGTGGGGCCCCGCACCGCAGGGCCAACGCGCAGGCGATGCATGGGCGCTGCCGCAATGGAGCACATCGGGCTACGGATCGCACCGCATTGGCGATGCATCGGCGATGCATCGGCGATGCGGCGCGATCCTCCGACCCGACCTGCTCTGGCCGCGTTCGGGCGGCCTGGCACAGATGATCGTGTTGGCGCCGACGTGTGCCTGTCCACCAAAGCGCTCTAAGACGACGCAGGCGGTGTCAGGCTGCGCGCTACTGGTGGAGCTGCACGAGGTCAATGACTGATAGCGCTACCCCCCAGACCTCTCCCAAGGTGCGTTTAGACCAGGATTTCGAGTCGAATCCAGCGGTGGCGACAAGGCCCTCCCAGGAGGCCCAAAAAGGCGAACACGAGCCGAGGGGTAGCGGTAGCGGTACCTCTTCCTCCTCGGACACTGAGCTATCACCCTCACTGGGGGTCATGAGTGGTACCCGGCCCAAGGCCGCCAAGACTGCAGACCTCTTGGACACCGCAGCAAGATCTCACTGCTGAGCAGGGACCGACCGTCCCGCCGGTACTCATACAGTCCTACCACGACATGTTCGTAGAACCCAAACATGTTCTAAGAACAAAAACAGTGATCTTAGAACATAAACCCGATGTGTCAAAACAAGACAAACTCCGCCAGAAATGTTCGAAGAACATTTCGTGGACACCACAAAAGGTTTTCAGAACATTGTTTGGCAGGCCTTCAGGCGAGCCAGGACGCTTCGCCACTGCTGGACACTGGGCGACCCTGCCCGCTGCTCTCCCCGGCCCCCGCAGCGCTGGCTCCGGACACCCCCGCCGGGCGGCCAGACAGAACCACTGCCCGCGGCACAACGGGAGCGCTTCGGGTCGGGGACGCGCTGACCCATGTCAGCGCCAACCTGGGCCACCTGACGGGAAGTTCTTCACGACGGGAGGAGGAGGAGGAGGAGGAGGAGGAGGAGGAGGAGGAGGAGGAGGAGGAGGAGGAGGAGGAGGAGGAGGAGGAGGAGGAGGGGCTGGCCCTCCCCGCGCGGGGCGCCAGGCCGAGGCCATGGCGTTCCAGCCGCCGAAGGGCGGGCGTTTCAGGACCCCATCGCATGGTGAAAAAATCACGACGGGAAGTTCTTCGCTGCTTTCGGCCTCCTGGGGCCCTTACCGGGCCTCAGGACCGCCAAGGAGCAACTCAGGATGAAAAACCGGTCTCGGGGAAGGGGTCCAAACCTCTGGGTGTCGACGCTGGGAGAAAATCACGACGTCGGGGGTCTGGGGAGGCAACATCGCGCACGCCACCCGGGTCGGGGGTGCGCACAGGCCTCATGCAGCCCTCAGGCCCGGGTCAGCCCGCAGGGGGTCGGAGGGGAGCGGCTGGCCCCCGAGAGCACACAGTCTCCGTGCTGCCGTGCGGACCGGTGGATCAGGTACGGATGGGGCGGCTCTGGCGACGGCGGGCCCAGGGCCACGAGCAGGTGCCCCGACCTTGACCTAAGGAAGGGCCCGAAAAGCAGAGCCCCTCCCGAGCCCAAAACGATCCTTCCGTCCACGCCTCGACTGTGAAGCCGGGGTTCTGGCAAGCCCACCCATACCGGAAGGCGCTGACCCCCGCGGAGAGCTTCAGGGGCCCCCGTCGCGCAGGAGCCGCGGAGTCGGGGGACTGATGGACTCTGACCTCGGATGCAGACAGGTCGAGCCGCCCTGGGGATCGGGCCGAATGCAGTCGAAGCCCGTCGCGGGCCGAGCCTTTTCGAATCGATCGGCACCGCGCGATGGCCCTAGCAAGCGTCATCAGATCGATCGATCCTGGATCCGCGTGAGTCAAGGATGGCGTTGTTTGAGCGCTTTCAATCACGGGGGGGAGCGTGTCCGTGTCCCGCACTCACTCCTCGGCCGCAACCTGATGGGCGCAGGGCGGCCTTGCGCGGATGCCCCGCTTAGAGCGTACCCTAAATATCGAATTCATTAGATCGCGCGTCGGTCTCCAAACCGTGAGGGCATGCATGTGGATATGTTCCTCGCTCGTGAGATGCGTGCTTTGGATCACTTTGAACCCATCTCGGCTCCAAGAAGCCTCCAGAAACCAAGGGATCTCTGCGAGTTCCCGGAGAAATTCGGACACCTCCTGTTCTTCTTCTTCCTCCTCCTCCTCCGCCTCCCCACCGGCGAGGGGGCGGCATGCCGAATAGAGGCCGAGCTCAAGCGTCCCCGAGGCCTCGATCTCGGCGCGCGATTGAGCGATTTCCCCGACCGAGGACCGAAAACCATACGTCCTGAAGGACGAGAGGTTCACGAGTCAAAGGCTCGTGCAAAATCGTGTCTTGCGCGTTCGGTAACACCTGTTGCGAGATGAATGAATATCAATTTTGTCAGAGACACTGCGATTCGATGCCCCGTGCCAAGAGCGTCTGTGTGCCCTCGCTCGGTCTGCAAAGCCTCGCCTCTGGGAATAGACTCTATTGGCAACGGGCGCTTCACCTAACCTTTTTTGTGTCGCTTGCCTGCGGGGCTGCACTCAAGATGTGAGAGGGTCCGCTTTTGAACTTCTTGGCGCTCCTGCATAATGCCTTGGAGATCAGGATTCTCCGCGAGGTACTCCTTCAGCGCCGCATCGACTTCTGCACGGACTGCTGCATGGTCTTTCTTGGCCCACGCAGGAGTGCCGTACACAACGCACTTCGAATCCTTATTGTTGGTGCCACCCCCTTGATGCCCGTCCTTGAAGTGGTCGTAAGGCCGCTTTTTGTCAATCTCCTTTCCACAGAGATAACAACTATGAGTCCCGCACGGACATTTCATGTGATTGCAGCCCTCGGTCTTCTCATACGGCTTCTTACACTTCGGATTTGGGCATCTCAAGAGCAGACCCTCTGCCATACGCTCTTCAATGAACGTTCTTATTCTGACATCGCCATCTTTTTCCACCTGGTCACATCGGAGAGGGCGATGGTCATCTTCGTGGCACCATCGGCAAGTAATCTTGCCGCACTGTGGATCCAGGCACTTGATGATGCTCTGTGTCGGGTCGGTCATCTGCACCATGAAATCGCAAGACGGACACGAAACAAGATCGCTCAGGCCCGAGGCGGCTGCATGTAGAGCGGCAGACCGGCGCGAATACCTCGCGTACACACTGACCGGCAGCGCTTTTCGCAGCGCCGCGTCTGTGAAACACCCGCTGCAGCCCGAGGTGTCCATGCAGCGAAGAGTGGCCTGAGCCGTGCTGGCGGCCACGGGCGCGGGGCTGCTGCTGGAGCTGCTCGCGCCGCTGCTGCCCGCGCCCTGGCTGAGGTTCAGTGCGAAGAGGCCAGCACCAAAGAAGCTGATTGCCGATTTCTTCTGGAAGAGCAAGAGGCAGCATAAGCAGAAGCCCCCGGAGCTCCGCGCGGAGGTCTCGGATTCGGCTGCACGCAATCGGGGGTGACCCCGGGCTTACGGGTGGCCTCCGGTGCGCGGCCCCCGGTGGGGCGCGGGGGGCCCAGGCCCACGTGCGCAGGCCGCTGCTGCCGCACATGTCCCGGCCATCGGGGGACGCCAGTGGGCCCGCACCAGAGGTCACTGCTGAAGGGGAACTGGGACACACAAATAAATACACACAAATAAAAATATCCCCCATATTTTCCCATATTTTCTGGGTTTTGTCTTCACACCCACTTCCCATATTTTCCTATATTTTCTGGGAATCGCCGATTCATTGTGTCTGTGTGTTTTTCTCCCTCCTGAACTGCGGCGAAGGGTCACTCCTGCGTGTAGTCGACGGCTGCGCTGGGCACCCCCTCGCCGGCGTGCGGGGTGCGCCAGGGCGGCGCGGGAGGCGACTGCCTGGAGGGGCCCGGCGCCGACCGTAGAAGTCTGCGCGGAGCTCCGAGGCTTCATGCCTCGGATGCTCATTCTGGGGACCTTCCTGGAGACACTCGGCCCACTCGTGCGTCGAAGCTGCGTCGAACGTCCGTCGATGTGAGTCGACCCTGAGTCGAACCTGAGTCGAACCTGAGTCGAACTTGAGTCGAACTGGGGTCGATCTAGAGTCGAACAGATCTGTCAGGTGGGTCCGAGGAAGGTCCCCAAACATGTAGAGGCCTCCCATATGGGGCCGGAGTAGGTCGGGTCGGAGGATCGCGCCGCATCGTCGATGCATCGGCGATGCATCGGCGATGCATCGGCGATGCATCGGCGATGCACCAGCGATGCACCGGCGATGCATCGGCGATGCATCGGCGATGCACCGGCGATGCACCGGCGATGCATCGGCGATGCATCGGCGATGCACTGGCGATGCACCGGCGACGTCGGCGATGCATCGGCATCGCCGACGTGAAGCAAATCGGGCTCCGCATCGTCGATGCATCGGTGATGCGGCGCGACCTTCTGAGCCCGTCCACTCGGACCCCACCTCTCGGAGGCCTGGAATGTCGTGCTTATGCCGTCGCTTCTCCTTCGGACTTCACGCACGGGATGCAGTACCCGTGCCCTGCCGCCGCCGTGCAGCGGATCTCGTGCTCGGGCAGCAGCTCCTCGTCGAAGCAGCAGGCGCACGTCCCCAGGCCGCCCACTCTGCGGAGCTGCTCGACCCTCGCCGCGTGATCCAGCTGGCGCTGCTTAAAATGGTTCGGCGGCAAGCGATGGGGGGGAGTCAAGAGGAGGAGGAGAAAGCTTTCCCAGAAGGCGGCGGGACTTCTCAGAAACTCTCGCGCCTTCTGAGAAGTTGTTGTTTGTCCTCGGGCAAGCTGAAAAAATGATCAGGAGGCTGGAGGACTTCCGAACCGTTTGAGAGGCCTTCTCCTTCTCACTTCCCCCCCTCGCACGCCGCCGAATAGTGCGTTGCTGTCTTGGCCACTGAACCGTCTTTCAGCTCTCTGGACAGTGCTCTCGGCATCGGGCACGGCGGCGCAGCACGACTCTGGCGCTTCGATCGCAGCGCGTCTTTCTCGCTACTGCTCTCCAGCCGCTCCTTGGCCTCTGTGTAGGTTCCGGTTTCTGCGAAGGCATCCCGCACTGTCTGGGCGGCTGTGCGAGGGAAATCCATCAGGAGCTTGTGCACCGCGTGGAGCATATCCGCCACCGTGTCCCCTGGCACGTTCGGGCACTGTGGAATGCCAACTGACCGGCAAAAAGAAACGCGTCTTACGCAAGAAAACATATAGCGGTTTTATGCAACGGTTCACGCTGAGGGCAGGCGTGGCACACCGCAAAGAAGAGAGGACGCCAGGCGGGAAGCGCGTATGTCGTCGCAATAGACCCAGTTCTCTTCCGTCGCTCAAATGCTGCCTGGTAGGGCTTCTGTAATCTTCGAAGCCCACCCCTACCGCTAGCGCTTCGACGCGTACATTCCCCCCCTTTCGAGGGTGCCCAAGGTGGTCTCCAAGACGGTCTCCAGGACGGCCCAGGCAGGTTGTCACGAAGGCCGCCCAAATACCCCAAGATGCTTCCAAAACGGCCAACGACGGCCCCACGATGGCCTCAAAAAGGCCCATGAGGCCACCGAGAGTGCTCCAGGATGAACCCCAGTAGAACCTGAAGAAACAAGCATCACACGTATTTTTGCGTCGGCGGCTAATCAGAGTGACTGCGCTGGCGAGTGGAGCGAAACGGGGCAACGTTAAGCGAATTGCGCCACCATGCAGGGGGGGGGAGTAAGGACAACGGGGCGACGGCCGAGGCAGGGAGAGAGGCGGGAGCCGGGGCCGCTCAGAGCAGACCCAGGCGCGTGGCGTGGCCGACGCCGGGTGGGCCAGCGGCAGCAGCGGGGCTGCGGGGCCAGCGGCGGCGGGAGGTGGCGGCCAGCGGAGGCGGGAGTGCAACCAGCTGGAGACAGCTAGAGCCCCAAGGGATGGGGCGGCGGGGCCCGAAAACTGGGCGCAAAGCTTGGGGGGGGGGGCGCAGACGGCAAGACCAG